AAACTCAGGGAGGCAGTGAAGGACAGGAAGGCCTGGCGCGATATGGTTCATGGGGTCACGGTTCATGGGTTCCCTCTTTTTAAAAATGTCATCTACGTGGTTCTCAGAGGTAGGCCTTCTCCATCTTTGTCTCCCTCTCTGGAATAGCATCCCCCTAGAGACTTGCTTTGTCTTATATAACTGGGATTTAGGAAGACAATAAAACCCTGGTTATTTCAATAGGCCTTTTAGGGGGAGTTGATTTGAGAATTCTTCCTATGTAAAAGTATACATGGGTTTATGATTCAACTGCATAGGAATAACGAGTTATATAATATTGTTTATTGTTTGGGTCTTTGCTTTTGCTATTTAATCTTGTTTATGTTTGGTAGAATTGTAAGCCACTCAGTCAATTGACAATTGGAGCAGCATATCAGCTTAGTAAAATAAACAAATGCAAGCAAATTTCATGTCAGTTGATGAATATATACGTACTTCTTAATAGTACAGTTACTTTTAATGGTAATCTATACCTTAATTTAGACACCAGTAGATGGGAACCTTGAGTGCCTCTTAACTTCAGTTGGAAGACCTAATTTTATTTTATACAGTATTTGGATCTGCCTTCATTAAGGACAGTTGATAAGCATACAGTGTGTCAGGGTAATATATCATTGTTATTGTCTTTTATGCCTGGGATGATTGAAGTAGAATGCACAATGTAAATAAAATGTTTTTCTCTTTAGATAAATTCTTTTTGACTTATCTTCTATTTAAGATACCTGTCTTACTTTTTTTTTTAGGAAAAGGCAACAGTGAATCCAGCAAATAAATATAATGATAATTTCTATGGATTATACTGTGTTTGTAAAAGACCTTACCCAGACCCTGATGATGAGGTAAATTGTATTGTAGTGATGTATCGAAGATGCAAATACATTTTGTGTGAATACAGTTCATAAATTGTAATAATTTTCCTATCTTTTATTATCTATTTTCAGTGAAGAAACAGGAATTTTACACATACAATTGAAAAAAAAAGAAAAGAAAACCACTCTGTAATTTTGTGTTTTGGATATTAGAAATAAAACATTCTTAGAGAAATTAGATCCAGGAACCTAGCTTATCTTAAAACATACTTCCTGTTCTGAGATTGTAATAAAAGAAGGGTGATATTATTTCTTGGAGATATTGGTATTTTCTTTCAGAAATTCAGCCAGTGCTTTGAATGTCTGTTACCCGTACTTTGTCCCAGGAATACTGAATAAGTTGCATTGTGACATTGAAATGTGTGTCTTTTTCCCAGTCTGTATAATTGAAAAGCTATTTTAAAAATGTATAGCTGTTTAAATAAGTTTCAAAGCAATGTATAGTGTAAATATTTACAAAGTTAGAAACAAACAATCATTAGAGAATTTTTCCTGGTGAGTTGGGTTTGCTCCTCACTCACTTTTTCAGTGTTGAAAGATAAAAGTAGAATGAAGTCCCATATTTTTCACTGATATAGATAGAGCTTTAATGATGTAAAAACAAACACTTTTGAACTGTATGCAGCAATGTGTTGACAGCTAGTATAGATGTGATTTTAAAAAGTTATATATGAGAATGCCTGCTCAAGCAAAGCTGATAGTAGCATTACATGTTCTCTATAATTTCAAAGACATCTTTCTGACGAGTTGAAGTAATAATATATTTTGTAATACAGTACTATGACTCTGTCTTTAGATTCCAGATGAAATGATTCAGTGCATAGTTTGTGAAGATTGGTTTCATGGAAGGGTAAGCAAATGTAATAAAATTATTTCATAAATGGAAGGGATTAGAAATATGTAACTTGTAAAATCAGATTTTTCTTAAAAGACTTGCAGTCATGAGTCTTTCGGAGAATAGTTATATAGATCCTTAAATAATTGAATTCAGATTTTCAAACCTATACACCGTGTCCTTAAATCTGCATTTAAAATACATTTGGGTGCTGCAGTCTTTTTGTTTGGGAAACATTTTAATAATATGAACTGCAGCCTTTCCAAGGAATGACAACCTTGAAAATAAAGTTAATACTTCATCTCTGTGAACTACAAGTATGTGTGGTTTGTGGTATATACACTGCATAGATTAGAATGTAGAAAACTAAGAGGAAAAGATGAGCCCTGATGCTAGACCCACTGTTCTAATTTTAATGAAGAGTCCTCCTGTTTGTCACTAATATACAATTGTTTTGAATTTCCATTTTTTTTTTCCTCAGCATCTTGGTGTTGTCCCTCCAGATAGTGGGGATTTTCATGAAATGGTATGTCAGACTTGCATGGATCATTGCCCTTTCTTGTGGGCATATGCCTCGCGGTTAGCAGGTAAGGAAACCAACAGTTGTTGTTGAGCTAATAGTTTAATCCGGATCCAGTATCTCAACTCAATGAAATGAAAGTATTTGGATTAGGTGCTTTAGTCTAATTGACATGAATGCAACACTTATTCAGCTTGTTGTAGTTCCTTAATTGATTACATTGTTGGGGATTAAATGCCTAAGTTTTTATGATATGCAATCTAAAATTTTAATACTAAACATGCCTGCATGGAAAGGAATCCTGTCCTGAAAGTTGAATCTGACCAATTAGCCAGCTGCTTATTGGGGGTTGAGATGGGGCAAATACCAAGCACTGTATTCAATTAGCAAACATTACATTTGCTCAAACTTCTACTTCATCTTCTGTGATTTTTTTTTTTTGCTGCAATTTTTCAGTATATAGAGGGGGAGAAGCATTCTTGTAAGAGATTGTAGTTCTCACCTAATGGTATTTATGCGAGTACATTCCTTACTTGAGCAGCTTTTGTGCAAGTGATGGCTTGATTGTTGGATGAAAATAAAGGTATGCATTTGGGCTTCTCTAGTGTAGCCCAGCAGTGGCAATCTGTGCATAGAATATGTACAAATAGTCCTCAGTCTTTCTAATTTAGCAAGATGTATACTACTAGAAGAATATCTTTTTACAAGGCCCTCTGATATTAGATCAGAGTTGTGAGAGGTTTTACTGCTTTCTGATGGTTCTGACTATATAGATGCCTAGTACTATATTGTAAAATATTAAGCATAGGCTTATTAAATTACACATTTAAAATTTTATTCAAAAATTACATTTCAAATTAATGACCTGTATTTTGACAATTTTGTTAGAAATCATTAGAATTGCAAGGAGAATGACTTGGAAACTTAGTTTAAATATTATCATTTTATCATTGCATAAAAAGATTCAAGTGGTGAGGTAGTTAATCCAAGTCAATAGCTTAATTTTATGTCTTTTTGGGGGGGGGAAATTGTGATGAGAAATCGGGGACCATTGTCAAAATAAAAGTATGAAAAAATTAGTTGCAAATCAAAGAAACACTCATTTCATTATTTTTCAAAATGTCAGCAAAGATGATACAGGGACTTGAGGACATAACCTATGACAATAGGAAGGAACTTGGGATGTTCAGTCTGAACAAAAAGAGGACTTAGGGGAGATATGGCTTTTGTGTATAGGTTCATGAAGGGAAGTGATAGGGAAGAATACCAAGAACTATTTTCCATGGCTCCAGGAACTAGGACTAGAAATGATGGGTATAAATTGCAGCTATCTAGAGTTTGTTTGGTCTACTTATGGAGGTTGTGGGTTCTTCATCACAGGAGATTTTTAAGAAGAGGCTGGATAGCTGCCTCTCAAATACGGTTTGTTTTCCTGCATATTGCAGAAGGCTGAATAGATTATCTTTGTGGTCCCTTCCTACTCTACAGTTCTATGGTGACCACGATAATGTTTTCCTAAGTATAGAATTATATAAGTTACATCTGTTCTGGGGCGTTCACTATGCTTGATAGTGATGCATAAAGATTACATCAACATTGGGGTACTATAATTTTGCGTAGATGTAGTTTGTCCATGAAATATGTAAAGTGTTTGGGATTGATTACTTGAGGCCTGTTCCATATCACTATGCCCGCTTCCTCAGATTGGAAGGAGAAGGCACATTTTCCATCTTTGGTGGAGGCATTGCTGCTGGCTCTACGGCTTCACCAGCACTATGGAAAATTTAACTTCTGAAGCTTGAACTATTTTTTTTTTAATTGGTTTTTAAATTGAGTGAGCTACTTTAAGTGGCATATAGCATTAAAATAATGGAATATACTTTTTTATATAACTAAAATAACTATATTTGTCCTGCTATCATGACATACTTTTCTTACTGGTAACCTTCACAGTCAGACATTTTTTGAACAAAGACTTTGGAATTACGGGTATTTTCTCTGTTAGGAGCAGGGCATAAAAATACAGTGGTGCTTAAAAGTTTGTGAAACCTTTTAAATGTTCAATATTTCTGCAAAAATATAGCCTAAAACCTGATCTGTTTTCCAAACAAGTCCTAAAACTAGATAAAGAGGACACAGTTAAACAAATGAGTCAAAAACATCATACTAGTTCATTGATTTATTGAGGAAAATGATCAAAAGCTACATATTGGATATTCAAATATTTGGACATACAATATTGAAAATTCAAAAAGGTTTGCAAAGTTTTAAATATCACTGTATTAGATCAGTAGCCTATACTTCATTAAAAGATGAAGAATTATTATTTTGTAATTGCAACATTTTTTAAAAAATGTCTTTTTGGAGATAGAGTACAAATAAATGACCATGATAACATGTGACATTATTACTTTTCCTCTTTAACAATGTTAGTTTTATTGTAATAACTGATATTTAACTGTGGAAAGACATTTTAACTAATTGAGGTAGAAATAGCATTTACTACATTCATTCTAATAGGTCTAGGTGTCTGTCTGTTGTAGTTCCAACTGTGACCAAAGTTATTGCTGCAGCTGATAATGGATCTGTGCTGAATGTTGAAGAAACTGGAATAATTAAAAATGAAAACAGTGTAGATCAAATGAAGACTGAAAAGAAAATAGTACAAATTAATGAACCATCCACCAGTTCTGGCAATGAATGTTCAGAGGTAAGCCCTGTACTTCTTGCTTTGCAGCATATGACTGAAAGCTATAATTCTGGGCTCATGATATTCCTGGCTGCATCATTGCCAATGTATGTATTAGGTAGATTCATGTAGCCTGATCTAATTTATGAGAGTCAGTTTGGTGTAATGGTTAAGACACTGGGCTAGAAACTGGGAGATCATGAGTTCTAGTCCTGCCTTAGGCACAAAGCCAGCTGGGTGACCTTGGGCCAGTCACACTCTCTCAGCCCTAGGAAACAGGCAGTGGCAAACCACTGCCAAAAATATTGCCAAGAAAACTGCAGGGACTAGTCCAGGTAGTCACCGGGAGTCAAGACTGACTCAAAGCCACCCCCCCCCAAAAAAAATCTAATTTACAGAGATCCATAATGCTGCCTGCAAGTGGGTAGAACTCATAGCATTTGGGTTCATAAACTCTACCCCAAGCTTTCTCTAGTACCAGTGACTTTTTGATTTTCATGCATTTAACTCAAAAAGATGAGAAGATTTCTGTAAGCATATTTAGCTGAATACATTTACAGAACTCTTCTGAAGTGAAATAATGCCTTACTGAAGCTAGCTATATCAATGTGCAGGTGAAGAATTGCATACTATACGGGACTAGACAGTAAATTTGGAGGGCTAAAGAACCTGGAATGAGCAAAGTTTGGAAATAACGTTGGCTACTTTTATTTTACTGCAGTCAGTTAAGAAGGAAATACTCACTTGCAAGCTGCAAGAACTTCAAACCAAGCAGAACCTGAAGCAAAGCACAGCTACCTTTTGGCCACACAACTGGCGAAACAAATTGTGCACCTGCAAAGAATGTATGGTATGCATTTTTAAATTGTAGTATCCCTACTTGCTCTAGAGGAATCCATAGTTCTTTTCTGAAACAATTACCTGGGAACTGAGTGGATGCTCTGGCCTGATTTGGTTGAATTTAATCCTTTTTGCAACACCTAAATGGGACTGCTCTTTTTCAGGGAGGCTGTTTCTGTTGGGTGGGAAGGTAGTATATGTTTATAATTTTATGTCTGCCATTTTTTGGGTCATGAAGACATCTTAAATTCATTGTCTTCCTTTTTGGAAAGTAAAAAACTGACAGTAAAAATTGAAACATTGTAAAAGAACTCACATTCAGTAGAATATTTCTTAAAAATATAATGCATTACAAAAATAATGACTGTTTTTTTCTGTCATTTGCAAATCTACATAACAAGTCACTGTTAGGGATTTGTCTCATTTAAAAAGTTTATGAAAAGGTGGGGGAAAAGAAGTATCGTGTGTAGGGATTTTTGACTTTGCTGTTACAATCCACATTTTTATTGGTAGAGCTATAGCTGTTTGTTCCTCCACTCATAAACTTGCTGGAGTTGTTTTGAACCGCCTAGGTTCCTTTGTCTCAGAGTTATTTTTTCCCTCATCTCACTTCATTTTTATACTAATTGTAAAGAAATTTGTATGCTTTTTAAACAATGAATTTGAAAGTATTTTGCTTCTATTTTGAATTCAGAAAATGTTTTATAGATCAAGATGTGCAGTGAAAATAATTTCTTATTCTTCAGAAAATGTATTCTGATATGGAAGTCCCATTCCTAACAGATGAATGTGATACTGTCTTGGCTTATGAAAATAAAGGGACAAATGACCAAGAAGCAGATAGAAGAGATCCTCTAATGGACACACTTAGCAGCATGAACAGAGTACAGCAGGTAGAACTCATCTGTGGTAAGTAATTAAAATAAATTAGGAATAATTTGAATAGGATGTTGCTTTATGTATGAAAATAGAATTAGGAGAGAGGGCCTATTTTAATTGATACTCTTTCTAAAATATTTTTATTAATTTGGAGGCTGGTAAACCTAGCCTAGCCAAAAGAATCTCATACAATGTTGTTTATGGTAGTTGACTAAATTAGAATGTTTGGCTTACAACTATCAATTCAGAAGAAAGTTCCATTGAGTTCACTGAAACTTACTCTTGAGTAAGAATGTATAGGATGGTCCCTGTAGTATACCATCAGCAGCAATCTATCAGGAAATATTTAAATTAGGTAAGCAAAGTGTCCTAGAGCTCTAAGGAGTATGAAGAAATTATTTATTTATTTATAAACCAGTAAGCTGGGCTTATATTGTGACATTCCCCCCACCACAAAAAACAGGGAAGTAGGGAGTCAGTATAGCTGTAGTATAGATAAAGCAATACTTTTTTGTGGGTGTGGGTGTCATCTTTAAAGCTGATTGATAAGCCATAAAGGAGAAAAAAAATGATATAAATATACAGCTACAGAAAAATATTTTTTTTATTTGGTTCAGAGTACAATGATTTGAAAACAGAATTGACAGACTATTTGAGAAGATTTGCAGATGAAGGAACAGTAAGTATACAATATCACATACTATTATTAAAATATTCTTTGGATAATTGAAAAATATAGCAATTGTTACCTGTACTACTGTGACAACCTGGACATATGGATCTTCAACTATGTAAGAAAGGTCAGACTGTTAGGGCCCTTTATCATATTTCAGAGGTAAATATGCTGCTATCACCCATATAATTTAGATTAATAAACATCACCTGGAACATGCAAATCTTAAGCTGCTTAGATAAAGATAGGTTGTTTTTCCAGAGCTTTTCCCCTTTTTTCCCCCTTAAGAGCCAAGCGGGAATGCAGTACCAGCGATCTAGAACATGGATGAGACATGTCCCAGGGTAGGCAAAAAGATTAGATTTCCAACTTAATACACATCATTAAAGAATCCTACAGGAAAGAGTAAGAAATGGTCAGTTATTAATTAAAATAACACAGAAACATAGTTTTTACTATTTAAGGTCTATCAAAACATATCTATCTAAGCTTAACCTTTAGGGATTCCTACTGGGTGATTCCATAACTTCACAGCATGTTCTTCACTCTCTGCCAGCTGCTTGAAGCCAAAGGAAGATCAGTCAGCGAGTGTTCTAGGACTTTGGAGTAGCTTCTAAAGAGGGAAATTCAACCTGACCAGTCAGTATTTTAGATGACCTTGATCAAACTGTTTTAGATTTTTTCTACAATCCTGTTTGGTATGTTACCAATCAATATAAGATGTGTGGTTTCATGGTAGTTTGATCTGAATATGCCTAGATATGTCCTTTGTTAGAGGAACGATCTGAAATTGGGGAAGAGAAGCTTGAACTCTTCTTAGTTAGCCATAGATAGTTATGAAAGTATACAAAGATTTAAATTTAAAATCAGAACACTTGTTTGCAAATTAGAAACAAAGGCAACAGACTTTGTAGCAATTACGTACTATGTGCATTTGATAAGTGAACTTATGACTATAAAAGAAATTCAAAATTTTGTATCTGAATTGCTAGTTCTGTGTTCATAATGATAGCAGAATTGGAACATTGAGGCTTATTGTTTTTAAATCTAGCAGTTGAAATGGAGAGACCTGCTGTTTGTCCTTTTGATAAAGTACCTCAAATGTCTGGGGTGCAGAAGTCTTGTAAAACCTAAACGCTTCTAAATTTTCTTGGAACTCCAAGGAAGGGAACAGTGGAGACAAAAATAGGAGAAGGCTTCTGTTCTCATTAGTATAGTTTGCTGCTCAGTTCCTTCTGTTTTAGTCAGTGCATCTGGAAATTCTTCCCCTGGTCTTATCATTGCCATACCTCCTAAAGCCTTCAGTCATCTAGCTAGAACTGCTTTGTAAAGCATTTACTAAAAATAAGCTGGTGAAGAGGAAGAGCAAAGTGAAATAAGTAACAAAAGAAATGGATCAAATCCTGGCACTAGCAGCATATGTATGTTAGGGTAAAAAGCATGCTGTCTTCCATCAACCAAATTGCTGGTTTGAAAGTGTTGCTATGTTATTTTTATGACTATTGTCATAGTTTCATATACTTCCACATTTTTATCACATTCATAATAAGAATTACCTTCAGTAAAACTGTTATTTCATAGCCAGTTATTAACTGATATTATATAATTATTTATTTATTGAATTTATACAACTGCCCATCTCAAATACATGACTCTGGGTGGCTAACAAAGAATGAAAACAAGATAAAAGCATGATAACAATAATAATAAATAACATATAGAGCAGCTGAGGTACAAGCAACTAACACACTTAACATAACCATGATATGGGCTTGACCACACACCAGAGCCCCAGATTCAGGTAGCAAAACCAGGTATTCAGGGTCCTATGGAAAGCCAGTAGGGTAACCCCAATAGGAAGGGGTCTCTTCCTGAGTCCTGCCAGATGTCACTCCCTAATAGATGGGGCCTGGGGCATGCCACTCCTGGATCTAACAGGACAGGTAGGTGCAACTGGGAAAATATGGTCCTGCAAGTGATGCAGCCCATGCCATGAAGGACTTTATAGGTCACTATTAGAACCTTGAATTGAATCTGGCATACTTGGCATATTTGTTCAGTTAATATAATTGGCCAAAACTTCCTCCAGTTTCCAATTTCCAAACATTTCAGTCTGTTGTGGCCAAAGCAAATGGCTGGTCTCCTGGTACTAATGTATTTATTGCATACACTTCTTGCATCTGTAGTCCACTTCATTAGGTGCATAAAATGTAATAATTAAGACTTTGGATTAGGGTTGGGGAGACCCAGGTTCAAATTCTATTTAATCATTAAGCTACTGGGTGACTTTGAACTCCCAACTTTCTCAGCTCAACTTACCTCACAGGGTTGTTGTGAGATTAAAATGAGAGGAACTTCCCATATCCAACATCTTGAACTCCTAAATGAAAGCAAGATGCCTATTTATTTAGCATATTTATATAGCCACCCATCTCACAAACGCGTGACTCTGGGTGTGGCATACAACACAACAACAGTTAAAACCTCCATAATGATTTAAAAGCAATCAAAAGTAAATAAAATAAACTTATAAAGTAAACATATAAAAGAAACAGCTAAAACCAAAGAAAACAGGAGAGCAAGCATCACTTAATCTCATAAAGCACCTTGCAGGCTCTCCCTGAGATCCCCAAGGCTGGTGAAAAAAACCATGTTTTAAGTGCCTTCTGGAAAACTAGCATTAATACATCAAATTTATAGGCCACCTGTAATGACTCTGTGTGGCATACAAAATAAACTATCCAATACAGTGCAAACAAAAGAAGTGATAACTGAGAGATTAATGTATCGAACAAATGAATATAATTCCCACAGTGGCACATACTTCATAATCTAGTGCTTGGGGGAAATCCCAGGTCTTCAAGGCCCATTTAATTATTAGTCAGCTGGAGTCTAATTGGCCAAAACCTCCACAGAGGGACAGCACTAGCCAGCTGGAAAGTAGTCAGACTGATCTGACCATGACAAAGGACTTGTTATGTCCTCCAACTTCAGGTCATGTTACAACTGCCTGAATAAAATAATAAACTTCAGGTCATTTTACAACTGCCCCAAATAAAATAAAAATAATGTGTGTCTCTCTCTATCACACGCACACACACACACACACACACACACACACCAGCATGAATCAGTCTCTCAGCCTTGGAGACCCCACCAACCTAG